TGCAATCGTTAGTGAACATCACAACTTCTGTGCTTACAGTGGAAGTAAGATCATTACTGAAGCAGCTGAAGATGGGCCTAGAACACTGCCCTGAGGAACTCCGGCAGAGATATCCTGGAGCTAAGAAACCTGACCTCCAACAAACACAACTATCTTCCTTTGTGTTATGTATGATTCCAACCATTGGAAATTTTCCCCCCTTATTCCTATTGGCTACAGTTTTGCTAGGGCTTCTTGATGGTGCACTCAGTCAAATGTAGCCTTGATCTCAAGGGCTGTCAGTTTCATTTCATCTTCCTATGTAACACTGAGGGAATGCTATATTGTCAGAGATGCTGCCTTCGGATGAGCCTTCAAACCGACCAGCCTACCCCTTCAGCAGATATAAAATATCCTACAATTCTATTCAAAGAAAAGCATGGGAGTTGCCCTGACTATAACTAACCTTCAGCCATCATCTTCTATAGATGACGCATTCATTTATTTCATTATTGCTTATTGTAGTGCAAATTTTCTTCTGTGGTTCATACATTACAGTTTATCCATATTTCAACAGGGGTTGGTTAGCTCAGTTGATTGGACACTGGTTTGCAATGTAGTGTGATGCCAAAAGTGCGGATTAAGTTCTGCAATGGCTGAGGTTACCATGAAGGACTCTCTTTCTCAATCTCTCCACTTGCCTGAAATGTGGTCACTCTCAGGTTAAGACACCATAACTCTTCTCTGTCATCCTAATGAAAGTAGCCTATTGACTGATAAGACTGGCAACTTTATCTTTGCATTTAAAGTACACCTTTGGCTGTAATGTTCACAGATATTTGGAAGATGTGAGAGATGCAATATCAAAGAATCCCTACATTGTGGAAACAGGCCATTTGGCCCATTGAGTCCACACTGTCCCTCTGAAAGACAGCAAACCCCACCCCGCCCCCCCCACCACCCTGCCTTACCCTACCCTTGTAACTCTGAATTTCCCATGGCTAATGCACCTGTCTTGCTCATCCCTGGACACGATGGACAATTTAGCATGGCTAATCGCCATAACCTGCACATTTTTGAAGCTGGGGCAGCTGAAGGAAACCCACGTAGACATGGGGACATTGTGCAAACTTCACACAGTCACTCGATGCTGGAATCAAACCTAGGTCCTTGGCACTGTGAGGCAGCATTGCTAACTACTGAGCCACCATCTGCCCTTATACATATATGTATATATGGTTAAGATTTTCTTTTTCCTCCAGATACTCTTTTCCGTGTAAACATACCGCCAGGTTTTTCACTCATGCTGATTAGTGGGTAAAATCACTTCTCTCTCAGCTATGAATGTAGGTGTGTAGGTGATGATGAAAAACCCCACTGAAAGAGGTTGAAATTACCAACACATTTTTGACTTTCATTTGAATGTGGAAAACACATTCTTCAGTAAGATGGAAGGCATATCCTTTATGATATCCTATGAACACCACCTCCAAAAACATTACGCGGACAGGCACTGGTTTGCTTTGTGAGCTTTGTTCCAAATTGTCCTGTTTTGACAAGAAGTGTTGATGAGAAAGCAGGCTAATAAAGAGAACAATTATGTCAGATCTTCATCTTCAGACAGTCCTAAGTTGCTTTGTGCTGTTTTGAGACTGTATTGAATCTCAAGTGCAAACAACACTTAATTTCCCTGTAACCACAGTTGAGTAATTATGTCCAGGTGCAAATTCACATCTTGGGATGACGCCACTGGCAGGAGAGCAACAATATTCAGAAGTGAAATTGAAACAATGAGCTCAATTAAAGAAGAGTGTCTCAAGGAGAGGACCAAAATATTAAACACAGAAACATACAAATTAAGAGCATCTGTAGGCTATTAATTCCTTTGAGCCTGCTCTGCTATTCGATATGGTCATGGCTGATCATCCTATTCAATATCTTCTTCCTTTTTTCACCCATACCCTTTGATCCCTTTAATCCTAAGAACTATATCTAACTTCTTCTGGAAAACATTCAATGACATGGCCTCAACTGTTTTCAGTAACCGAGAATTCCACAGGCTTACCACTCTCTGGGTGAAGAAATTTCCCTTCATCCCAGTCCTAAATGGTCTACTCTGTATCCCGAGATGGTGACTCCTGGTTCTAGACTTCACACTGGGAACACCCTTCCGGGGTTTACCCTGTCAGGACATTTTAGAATTTTATAGGTTTCTATGAGACTCCCCCTCATTTTTCTAAACTCCATTGAATATAGGTGCAACTGGCAAGTGCCAAAGAGTGTGCAATCCTTCAGCAGTGCTCCCCAAGTCTGAAGTTATGAGGAATTAAGAACAGGCAAACAATGAAAACAGAAATGGAAAAGGTAAAGGCTCCCCAAGCACAAGCATGACCCCATGGGTGAGTGACAGTGTATGTTAGCAGTTGACATGGCTCTGCGTTGGCTGATGAAGTTGAAGTGGTACTGTACGTGACGTTACCCTCTGCAACATTCCACCAGCTGGTAGAACACCACACTCATGAGAAGGTATAACCAAGTTGTAGGCTGTGACTGGGACTGTCTGTACGTGGCTAGCCGTTCATTGTGTAGCATCCACAGGTTTCCTTGCAGCCAATGGCACTGCCCAGAATTTGCTGCCTTGGCTGGCCCAGAACCCAGGCCTGCAGAATAATGGCTGATATCGTGGCAGATGTGACCAAACAGACAATACTGGTTCCTGGTGACAATACCAGTGCTAACAATCAGCTGAAGTAGTCAATCTTGGGAAAATGATCTCATTTATACCTCATTGAATCATATAAGATCCTGAAAGGGTTTGGCACTGCCAGCCAAGAGATTGTTTCTTCTGCTTGGAATGTCTAAGACAAGGAGCACAGTCTCTGGATAAAATGTTGCCCACTTACGACACTAATGAGGAGAAATCCTTCACACAGAGCACTGTGGAATTTTTGGAATTCTACCACACAAAGTACTTCGACGCACAGTAATTGAATATCAAAGCTGAGATTGATACATTTTTAGATTCTTAATAGAATGTGACATGGAATTCAAGCATAAAAGTAGAATTGAGGTCAAATATCAAGCATTATCTTATTGAATTACAGAGTAGGCTCTTGGGGCCACTTATCCTACTGTTGATCCTTACATTCTTATCTCGCATAACCTGAGCCTACGTGAGGCATAGAACCTCTGTAGATATAAAGAGGTGGTGCTGGTAGGGGGGACCAGAATACCTTTTGGTGTCTGGCATCCTTCCATAGCCTTCCATTGCCTGTAAGTCACAATGTATATTGCCAAACTATTAATGCAATTAACCAGAATTCCGGGCAACAACAAAGACTGTGTAGCAACCACAAAAAAAAGCACAAAGAACTTTGAAAGCCTACCTGACAACCAGAAAAATACAAAATTAAAATGTAAGGAAGATCTTTAAAGGAATGAAAGATATGTTCTCAATACCTACCAGCCTGTTAAATGTTCTACCTGATTTAACCTGAGGTTGCCTTACTGCTCAGTTACATTGGGTTATCTCAATCAAATTTGACCTAATCTAGCAAAAGCAAGAAAGCTAATTTAGTTCTGGGCAAAAAGGAAATAGAAAGTGCTGCAAAATGAGGCAGGTCTGGCAACATTTGTAGAAAAAGAAATCCAGTTAATGCATTAAGTTCCATTTGAATCTTTTTCGGAACTTAAGAGATCCAGAACTGTAATTGAACTGGTTGCCACAGGGTTCGAAACATTACCACTATTTCTCTGTCCACAGATGCAGTCAGACCTGCTGAGCCTTTCCAACAATATTTCTCCAGCAATTGTTTTCATTTTGGCCACATTCTTGTTTTACAGACCTCTCTTTAATCTTCGTTGAGTCCAATAGAAAAGTTTTGAGATGGTTGTCTGACATCCATTGACTATCCTGCAGATCAAATTGGGTCAACATTACTCCTTCATAACGTCAACAACAGAGTCTTTCCTTGCTTCTATTATATTGGTTAATGAAATCTCCAGCTGTTTCAGAAAAAGTTAGCACGATCCAGATCAACAGCTCTGGATAGACCCTTGAAGTGACCATGGCAGGATCCTGGAAGAAATTTTCAAGATGGAGGGCAGGGTCTGCTGCTCAGAAAGCTAGTGGATGCACCTAATTCTCTGGGCACATGGCAACCTCTCTGGAAGAGGTAGACACTGTCTCTTTAGGCAGCTGGTGTCTCAAGAGGAAGGTATCCTCTATAGACTTACGAACGGATCAAAAAATACTGTGGCACAGCAGTCAGAAATTACTGTAGATGGGCAAATGCTCTACAGGATGACCTGTGGCCATGGTCATCTTCCACCTAGCTCTAAATATCCATGTTAGGATGCTTTTTAATATGGCACAGACACCTAACCATCCCTATAGATGGCTGCCACTATCTGTCAAAAGTCCTCTCTGTTAACACTTCAAAGGGCCTAATTTGATAACCTTTTCTGAAAGAACTAAAATTCACCCATTACTGTTGATGTTGAGTCACTGTACCAGATGCAACTACCTCAGAAATAGACAAGAGGCAGGAACATGCTGGCAGATTAGCACATGGGCAGGTAGCAATAAACTGCCAGCATGGACATACCTAAACCCACTTCTACCATGTAATCAAATTTCAATACAATGTTTCAGAACTAATCTAATTGGCCAGTTAGTACTACAGATCGGGACAAAAAAACTGCAGATGTTGGAATCCAAGGTAGACAAACAGGAGGCTGGAAGAACACAGCAGGCCAGACAGCATCTGGAGGAAAGGAGCAGTCAACGTTTTGGTTATTATCCTTCTTCAGGACTCCTGTAGTACTACAGATAAGCTGTTATGGAGGTGGTGATTTGAACATTTTAATTTATTGTCTCTTGAGACATTGCATAATCATTTTCCATGCATTCTTAGTTCATAGCACAGTAAAATTCCCATTTTGGTATGTATGTTAAAGTTAGGTAATGAAATATAGGAAAAAAATTATGTCAACAATGAACACAATGTGAGGAAACTTACTGATGCCAATAGTGGTGACCATTTTGATCGCAATTTCTGGAATTCCACAAGGCATAAAAAATGGCTCCAGTATGTACTGGCCAAAGGCTAATGATATCACAGCAGTGGCTGCAGGTCTGCATAAAGAGAAATACAATAGCATTAGCTGTGGTGTAATCAGATGATGTGCAATCACAAAAATGCCAAAATATCCTTCACACCATTGTCTTTTCCCAGAGAAAGGCTGAACTAAAGGATCATTGCAAACTAAGTATCTTAGCATTTTCAAAGTAACCCAAAGGATAGAATATTGGAAGGCAAGGGACAAGAAATACCACTTAGCCCCTTAGACATGCTCTTTATAGAGAATTTACACACTTTATATTATCATGGAATGTTTCTAAGCCATCAGTAATCCTGAGGAAACGTTTTGATTTTGCCTGTATTCTTCTAGTATGTTAGATCAATTAATACCTGTAACTCCCGGATGGCAGGGTTTTTGACTAGGAATGTGCACACAGTAAATTGGGCCTAAAAGTTTGATTATGCTGTGCTTGATTTAAAGTCACAAATCTACTGCCTTACGATTCAACGTGATAGTTCCACTCATGTGCAATTCATCCCATGTTGGAATATACTCCCCACCTTATTAAGCACCAATTGCGCTAAAGTACTAAAATATTGTAATCAAAGTTCTTTGCTTGTAATAATGAAAGCTAAATGTTGGAAGTGGCTGGTGCAGACAACTGCAGTTTTCACACACGGTGTGACATCAAAGGGCATAAAGAAGCCTTATGTCACATCCCCTCCAACATTGTCACTCACTACAATCTCTGTTCGTGATGCCCAGCATGTTTGTTTCTCGATGGCAGGATATGTATTGCCCCTACCTCTTCCAATTGCCACAAGATGTACGTGAACATACTATCTATATTGTGACACTGCCATTGTTAACAAATATGTACGTAATGTATAAAGTATGAGACAGAGGGATGCAAGGATTGCAATAGCACTGACAGTAGAGAATGAGAGTATGTGAGAAGTTGATTAAGATGGTTTAATGATACATAATGATTCTAGGTGAATGATGGGAAGAGGAGAGAAAGAGATTTGTCAGCATTGAGGACATGGGCTTTGCAGTTGAGGAAAGAATAAGGGAGTAAGATTCATACTTGACAACTCTAGTGGAGTCATTGAACTATTTTCTATATTGCAGCCATACTCGAGGAACTAAGCTCCCAAAGTTATCCTTCCCAGTCAAATCTTTCTACCAGCAATGGTGATGTTCCCTGGAAGGAATTGCATCCCTAGAGGCAATCTCATTCCTTCTGTCTGTTGTATAAGGCAGATAGTAGCTGACAGGGTTAGCCGATATCACAAGGTAAGCTTTGCTCATCAGGATATAAAGGATTGTTCCTGGGAGGACCAAACAGATTAAGTGTCTAAGTTTAAGTGTACCAGCCTAGTGCTAAGTTGATAAAGCTAACAGTCATGTAAACTTATATATAGATAGCTTGAGGTCTTAAGGACTTTCATGCAATTCTGATGTAATGTAACTAGTCATTAAGTGCTGTGTAATAAACATATACCCAAGCCTACAAAAACAGAAACTGCTGGAAAAGCTCAGAACTGAGGAAGGGTCACTGGGCTGGAAGTGTTAACTTTGATTTCTCTCCATAGATGCTGCCAGACCTGCTGAGCTCTTCCAGCAATTTCTGTTTTGATTTCTAACTTCCAGTATACGCAGTTCTTTTGGCTTTTATATAATTGAGCCTCATTTCTGTCAGAGACTCATGTAGGCATCCCTTTCTACTTGATATTAATTTCTTAGACTAATACCAAAAAGAAGGATTGATGCAATTAATCAATCCAAAACATCTCAGATGATTCTGATCTACATGACAACAGCAGATCAAGCTGGCAGAGCTGGTACTGAAAATATGACACTGTTCCACTGTCTGGACCAGGGCTTCCAATATTAGCTATGGCTCAATTGATATTATTCTTTCCCCAGTTAGAAGGTTGTGGGTTCAATCACAATCCACTCCAGAACATGACCACAACATTAAAGCTGATATTTCAGTGTAATATTGAGGATGTCCTGTCTTTCAGATGTGATGTTAACCCAATGCCCATCTGCCCAAACTGGAAGTGAAAGATTCCATGACATTATGTTGAGGTGCCAGTGTTGGAGCAGGGTGGACAAAGTCAGAAGGCACACAGTGTCAGGTGAGGCCACTTCACCTGATGAAGGAGCAGTGCTTCAAAAGCTTGTGATTTCAAATTAACCTGTCGGTGTATAACCTGGTGTCATGTGACTCCTGACTTACTCCATGCCATGACTTTGAAAAAATCGGGGAATTGATTCCTAATGCCTTTTATCTATCAACACCATAAAAGCAAATTACTCAGTCATTGCCATATGTTTGTGGGAACATGCTGTGCAGATAACTGACTGACATGTTTCCAACATTGCAACAGTAACTATCCCAAGGAAGTACTTATTTGGCTGTAAAGTTATTTCTGACATCCTGCAGTCACAAATGCTGCTATAATTTTTTTTTCTTTCCAATACTGCATCAGAGATCCTAGATGCCCTCAGGATCACTTGTAGACATTATTTCATTTGTGAAGTTTCTTTAAAGTCTGTAGCCAAAATGCATTTCTCCTTCAAGTGGTGCTGCATGCCTTCATACAGTGTCAGCTTTTTTCGATCAGCTTCCTCCCCTTCACCCCTATTAGATAGGGAGGGAATTAATGAGCAATGCTGGCTCCATGCCGGAGTAGTACAAATAATCAAATTCGCAAACATCAAATTCACATGCCCCCTTTGACTCTGACAACAGATGCTTGCAATGTGTTCTTTCCCACCGGGTGCATATTTTTGGATGTGATCAAATCTCAAAGCCTTCGTCTTTTGAGCAATCATTTTAGCTTGAGCATGCTTCAATTACACCATCATTTCCTAGCACTGCTCCTGTTTTACGTGGAATTTGTGAAAAACTGAACATCCAAAGACCATTGGATAGAGCTGACACAAATGAGATCAGTGTTCTAACACATCAACAGATACCAATGCCAGCTCTATTTCAGTGTGATTGGAACTTTTGAGAACAGGTCTTTATCATGTTGATTCTAGAATTTATGTGGAATGGTTGCCACAGTGGACTAAACCTGCTGCTGCAATCTCTCATCCCATCCTTTTCCGAGCAGATTCCCCTGAAAACCAACATTCGCTATTCATGGGTCTTAGAGTCTGGTACTTGAGGAGCATGGTCACTTTTTAAAAAATGTAATCCATGTCTCTGCCCTCTTCCTGTGTAGGTCTACCTGTTGATCTGTAATTGATATGTTGTACAATGGTGTAGAGTTCTGTGATACAAAACCAGTTCATGTAACATTATTGCGAGTTTGATGACATTCAATGAGTTTTTGTACCACTAGGCTTTGAAACTAGATTCTAAAATTGATACCCCACCTCAGGGAAGGAAAATATTTTCTTTTTAAGTTCAGTCTGCTGGATATCTGCATGTTCTGATTAAATAAAAAGAATCACTTGAATGACCTGTAACATTGCAGCCAAATACCATTATCCCAAGCAAGAGTTGGCATCATCGCAGCTCTCAATGCCTATCTCAATGCAACAATATTATTGAAAGCAAACACTATAGTTAATATTTTATGAATGAAGCTGTAACATTCGAATAACAATGACAACAGAGTGCAAATTCTTGAACTCCCTAGTGGATCCCTTGTATTCAGCCTAGAATTTCACAGGTACTCTGCGTGTGTCTTGGAGAACTTTATGTCAAATAACTGTGAGCTCTGACAACTATTGTCCTGGTGCTGGTGTCTAATGAAATGATCATGTTTTTTAAGTACCAGGCTCTAAAAGTCATGAAACAAGTTATTTAGCAAATGTTGGTTTTCAGGGGAATCTGCCAGGGTGCATTGAGAGATTGCAGCATCAGGCCTGGTCCACAATGGCAGCCATTCCTAGCATTTAGGATGCCTAGAATCTAAATTCTAGAATCAAAATGATAAAAACCTGTTCGAAAAAATCCAAATGACACTGAACTCATAAATTAGAGCCAGCACATGCATCCGTGTCATCTCATTTGTTTCAACTCTATCCAATAGACTTACGGTTTTCTGATTTTCGCAAATTCCATGTTAGACAGGAGCAGTGCTAGGAAATGGTGGTGTAACAAAGAAAATTCCAGTTAAAGCAGAAAGCTGATGCAGCAGCAGCTAAGGAGTACACTCAGTGAGTTGACCATCAACCATTTGGACTGCATGTTCGTGTATCATTTTGGGCCACTTTTTAAGAATGCCTTCTTAAGATGAAGAAGAGGGGCTGAAAGCAAAGAAAGGACTCTAGACAGAACAAAACCCTGAATGATCCATCAATGAGTGATGGAATTTGACGTTGATGAGTTTCAGCAAAGGAGGGATTATGAGAGAAAGTTGGACTCCCACCACAAAGGCTCAAAAAGTATACTTCAAGGGCCACAAGTCTGGAGAGGCAATCAGAGTCATCTCCTTCATCCCCAGAATGGCAGACCAATTTTACAATGATGGACAGAATGCCAATCAAACAACTGCTGACACCATCTTTCCTTGGTTAAAAGACTGATTGGATCTTACATAAATCACAGGACCATGATTATCATGTATTGATCTTAGTTATCTGAGTCAGGAGGGCTGGGTTCAAGTCCCACCTGCCCCAGAGGTATAAAATACCATCTCTCATCATGTTGATTTGAAAATACCTTTAGTCAAGTCCTCTTACTTGAGGACAGATATAAATATTTTGGAGGCTGTTCACCGGAGGTTCGCTAGATTGTTTACAGAGATGAGGGGTTTGGCTTATGAAGAGACATTAAGAAGTTTAGGGCTATACACTCTTGGGTTTGCAAAAATCAAAGGAGATCTAATCGGGTTATATAAGATGCTAAAGGGGATAGTCAACTTAGATGTAGAAAGACATTTGCTCGTGTGGAGCAATCTAGAACAAGAGGTCACAGTTTTAGGATAAAGGCAGCAGATTTGAAACAGAGATGAAAAGAAATTACGTCCCTGAAAGGATCATGAATCTGTGGAATTCACTACCCCAGAGTGGGTTGCATGCTAGGAC